TCAAAACTATGCAGACAAATAATGCAGGGGTAAATTATGCAGACTGAGGGTAAAATGCAGACTGCAGATCTAGACTACAGACGTTTTGAGTATATGTCATGTTATATCCATAATTGAGTGCTGACTGTAAACAGGATTATTCAGGCTAATTGCATTCCAGACCTGACAAAATCACAAAAAAGTAATGGAATTTCTGCCTGATTTTCACTGAAATAGCTTTACTTATCATGGCAATTTCTATTTTAATTTAATGAGCCCTGCTGCAATAGCCAAGGTATCAGTGATGTGTCAGCTGTTGCTATGAATGTGCCAACCAAAGATTACTCAATTGGCTGCTGAAACAAAAGACTCTTTTGTTTCATGGCCTGGAAATTTGAACAACAAAACATAAATGATATTAAATGATATTATCTTCCCTTATCTAGATGCAGTGGCACAATTAAAAAAATGTTACATGTAAGTCATTGTGATTTAATTTTATTCGTCCATAAAAGACTCATGTATTATTAGTATAAACCCTATTAATTTATTTTTCTTTCTATCAACACTTTATTACACAGGCAGAGGGATAAAGGCAAACCTTGCAACTGCCCTGCAGATAGAAGGGACCTGGACCAAGACCGGGTAAATGATACTCATTGCTGGAAACAGTTTCCCTACTTGCTTATAGGTCATTTATCCTTTCAAATCCCCCCCCNGTCGTAGATTTATCCAATCTCCTAAAGCAAAAAGTGGTGAACACTCCTCGTCAAAACTATGCAGACAAATAATGCAGGGGTAAATTATGCAGACTGAGGGTAAAATGCAGACTGCAGATCTAGACTACAGACGTTTTGAGTATATGTCATGTTATATCCATAATTGAGTGCTGACTGTAAACAGGATTATTCAGGCTAATTGCATTCCAGACCTGACAAAATCACAAAAAAGTAATTGAATTTCTGCCTGATTTTCACTAAAATAGCTTTACTTATCATGGCAATTTCTATTTTAATTTAATGAGCCCTGCCGCAATAGCCAAGGTATCAGTGATGTGTCACCTGTTGCTATGAATGTGCCAACCAAAGATTACTCAATTGGCTGCTGAAACAAAAGACTCTTTCGTTTCATGGCCTGGAAATTTGAACAACAAAACATAAATGATATTATCTTCCCTTAGTGATTTATCTAGATGCAGTGGCACAATTAAAAGAATGTTACATGTAAGTCATTGTGATTTAATTTTATTCGTCCATAAAAGACCCTTGTATTATTAGTATAAACCCTATTAATTTATTTTTCTTTCTATCAACACTTTATTACACAGGCAGAGGGATAAAGGCAAACCTTGCAACTGCCCTGCAGATAGAAGGGACCTGGACCAAGACCGGGTAAATGATACTCATTGCTGGAAACAGTTTCCCTACTTGCTTATAGGTCATTTATCCTTTCAAATCCCCCCCC